GAAGAGCTAGCTTCTTCGTGGGTCACATCCCTCCTGGGCCTGGACAGTGAATAACATGAAGTTCCCATTGCAGTCAAGAGCTTGGGGATGGTTTTTGGTCTTTGCAGCACAAAATCCCCCTAAATTCCTGGTGAGCCTTACCAGGATTTAGATTGTGAGCAGCTCACTAGTTCCATCTTGTATTTCTCGGGCCCAGTTGGCATCACAAGACAATGCAACCCTTAGGAACAAGCTGTGACATTGGACTGGCAGGGTTTGCCTTCCGCTCCGTTACTCCCAGCTGGGGGGGCGGGTGGTGTGGGGCATGACACTGGATCCAAAATGCTCACTCAGAACCAGGGCTGGCTCAGTAAATGTTAGATTTATCATTATGCCTGTTATTGTAGTTGCTCAGTACATATTTTCTGAATGAATGAATGAATGAATGAATGAACCAATGATTGAATCCTTGAAGGAACAAATGGCCTAAGGGACCCCAAGTTGTGCTACAGCTTTGGGCATCCCATAAAACTTGCTAGATTTACTTTGGTCAGAAGAGGGCAGCATTGAGTCAGCAATCCCAATTTGCCCAAAGAGTTCCAGGATCTACAACCTTCTCTTTGACTCCCACCTCTTCTAGCGTGCAGGTTCCTATCTAAGCAGTTCCGCCAGGCCCTGAGCGGGGAAGGTCAGCACCTTTAAGGCTGTGCAGTTCACCACCCGGGGTGACTGTGACCCTCAGAGTTCTGGGGAAAGGGAATTTAATGGTTGAGGTCTCAAGTTGAAAGTTGATGGTAAGCTGAGCCTCCAGGCTGCAGCAGCCCTTTTTCCAGAGAAAAGGGAAGAGGGGCTCAGACATCTATACGAAGGCAAATTCCAAGGGAGGCATTAGCTCATCAGATACAGAGAGCAGTCAGCTGACCCTACTCTACTCTCTCTTCTATCCCCACCACTCTCAGCATCTCCTCCCCACGCTCCCACTCCTCACCCCCCACTCCACCCCAGCCCTGAAGGCTTTTCCTCAGTTTACCAAATCCCACCCTCCCTCCCAGAGGGCACCCCTCCAACGCCCAATCAGCCTCCTGTGAGGCCTCCCTCAAAGCCCTTGAAGACCCATCCTTTAAGCCCCATATGGCACTCTGTACCGATCTTGAGAGTCTTCCCACTTTCTGCCTTGAGTTATACAGTAAATTGTGTGTTTACCTTATTCCCCTTACTAAACGGTAAACTTCCTGACAGCGGGGAGCTAGTTCTTAGGCACCCCTCAAGACTCCAGAGAATTTCTTTTTCATGCGACCTGTCTGACTCCCCACTCCCACCTCACCCCCAAAGCCGACCTTGGTGTCCCTCACCTGCCTTCCTGCAAGCACCCTGCACTCCACATATCACCGCAGTCCTTACTCTGAACCGAATGTTAACGCTCCCCTCACGAGTCCAGATCCACACACACACACACAGATGGCCACACATGTAAGGACTGGGACAGACACTTGTTCCTAATAGTTTTCCCCGAGGGGCACCTAGTAGGCCCAATGAATGGTTATCTCCAGATACGATCTGCTTGTTTATTTCTCACTAGACTGAGCCCTTCTGACTTGGATCAGTGATTAAATGTCAGCGTGGGGGGTGGGGGTAGGCTTCCTCCTCCTAGGACTGGACAGCGGGACAGGCAGGATCAAAACAGCTCAGCCCAGATTCCGGGCATTTCGGAGCACACGGCCCCAGGAATTCCCCAGGATCTGCTGGCAGCTGAGTCACCTGACGTAATCAGCTTCGCTATCAAGCATTCAGGTCTCCCTCTAAGGAATTTGAGAGTTGAGTTTCAGCAGGGAAGATCATTTCCGAGAGGCCTGTTTGTCTGCCTCCCTTGCCTGTTTGCTTCGGACAGACACCAGCCAGATACACGGGCCACTAAAGCCCCGTCCTGTAGCCCCCACAGGAGCCGTCAGGCTGCCCCTCGGCTGGGACAGGGGAGATCGCTTTTCTCTGAGGTGTCTGGTCATCCACAGTTTGCCCCTACATGGAGATTCACATTCTGGTCAAAGGAAGCTGAAGTGGGGGTGGGGAAGAGGCCACAGGGACGGGAGATCTACCCCCCACTGCCATCACAGTTTCCCGATAATGGAGGGAAGGAAATCGCTCATCTGTAGTTGCTTTCACTTTAGCCTGTCAATTCCATTGCATTCCTGTGGTTCATCGTGTCTATTGAGTGTCCTTTGGTGTTGGGACCCTTCAGTCCTCAGGGGAGTCTGAGCATGAAAGAGAATCTGAGGCTCATCTGTATAACTCTTTCATCTTTCTTATGAGGAAATGTTGGTTCGCTTCTCACACCCTTCTGGTCTCAGCTTGAAAGACCGTGTATGCAGGAAGCTGCCCCCGACCAACCTCCTGTGTAAAGTTGTATATTTTTGTTTGTTCGTTCCCCCGCGTCCTGCGTGGTTCAGGGTTCAGGATCTGGAAGAGGTCCTCACGCAAATGAAAGAGACAAGACAAGAAATAATAATTTGGAAATATTGGGGGGCCAGGCGGGCAAGTCCAACTCAAGGGGAAGGACTTCCACTGGTGCTCAGGCTGCGCCAACCTTTTATTGGTTTGGAATACACTCATGGCCCTTAGGCAGGCAATTTCCAGTAATAGACAAAGTAGCCCATCAGCAAGGATTTACATAATAGTAAATGGGGAAGTTGCTTCAGCAACCATTGTCTGGACTAACAGTGGGTGCACAGCCCTGACCATTGCCAGAGCTCAAGGGTCGCCAGCCTTCCGGGATCCTTGTCCACACCTCTCTGCTAGTGAAGACAATGGATGACTTCCCGCACTCCTGTCTGGTCTAAGGGCTCCATCCTGTCACACCCCAAGGAGATTCTGTTTCCCCCATTCTGGGCACATCTTCCTCTAAGATTGGCTTGTTTATTTCTTACTAGACTGAGAATTTTCTGAGGACAGAGACCATGTCTATCTTGTCACCATCCTATCCATAGGCCCAGCACCCAGTATCTGTAGAATGAATAAGTGATTGATAAAAGGCCACAGAACCGGTTGGGATGTCAGGACTAGAACTGAGGTCTCCCGACACTGTGCCCTGTGCTTGCTCTTATATTACCCATACTTCCACCTGAGAGCCCTTATCCATCTGGATGATCCCAGCTAGCTGAGCCCCTAGGGATGGATGCAGATCTCAAGGGAGAAAGGAAACAGCAGGTCAGGGGAACTGTCGCCTGGGCCGCAATCTATTTTCGAAGACAACCCAGAGCAAGAGGGGGCCAGTAGAGGGAAGAGCCCCAAACTGGCTCCCCGCTCCTATGGCCCTTCAGATTTGGGGAAGGGGGTTGATTTACTGCATAAGTGGATCTTCTCCAGCCACAAGGGGGCAAAGGGCCAAGTTCTTCATCCTTAACTCCCACTAGAGTGGATCCGAGCATGAGTGGAAGTAAGAAAGTAGGCAGACACTAAATACAAAACTCAGTCACTGGGCATCTGTCCCTCTTGATCCTCAGCATGCCCTGAAGACACAGCTGAAGCCACCACCCTCCTGGGGATCTGCCCCCAGTTTCTTATCAGTTGTGAGGCCTTGGGCAGAATGATACTCACTTCACAGGATTGGGTTGTCATGGAGACAAGGGGAAATATTAGGGCAGGAGGAGAACTTGTGGCTATTCTGATTTCACTCTAAAGGACACTCCGCATGGACCTGGTGCTCATGACCTACCACCAGTCCTCCTGACTCCAAAATCAGAGAGGAAACCCTTGGAGGGACAACTATTTATGAATTTAGAGATACAAGTTAAGTAATGGGAGTGTAATTTTATTTTTTTAATGAATGAATGTTTCCTTTTGGTTCTTTCCATCTCCTTCCAACACTTTATAAATCCCACCACATCTTGAAGGCCCATTCAACGCTAGAAGCCTTCTTTGATGGAGAGGTAAGAACTTGCTAGAACCGCATGTCTGAGATCCAATCAAGGTTGATCTAACTGAAGACAGATGAACTCAGAAGCCTGGAACAGCTAGCCCTCCCACATAGCTGGAGCCTACCTCTATCCCATCCCACCCCCCTTTTCCCTATAGTCTTAAAGAAGTGGTAAGTGACTTTATAGATTTTGGCTTGAGAGACGCAAATTACCAGGATGGAGAAATACTTGGGTGACCTCTAGTCCTGTCAGATTGCCCCTTGCTCACTGAGAACACAGCACAATAGAAGGACAACAGCCCTAGCTGGTTTGGCTCAGTGGATAAAGCGGCGGCCTGCGGACTGAAGGGTCCCAGGTTCCAGGTCAAGGGCATATGCCTGGTTGCGGGCTCGATCCCCAGTGAGGGGCGTGCAGGAGGCAGCCGATCAATGATTCGCTCTCATCATCTCCCACTCCCTTCCTCTCTGAATATATATATAGAGAGAGAGACAACAGGTGACCCCTAATCAGAACCAAGGGCCACTCAGAGGCAAGAGCAGTTCCAGGGCCCCTCAAAGTTTCCAGACAACCCACCCAGCAGCCTCCACCGGTGTCCTCTAGTCCAGAGGTCGCCAGCCGGTGGTCCGCGGCCACTGGTGGTCCGTGAGGTCCGAAAGGTTGGCGACCGCTGGTTTAAGGCCGGGCCTGTCCCTGCGAGGGTTGTGCAGGTGGGCGGGGCCCCATTGACACCTTTCCAAGCAGCGCGGCGGAGAGGAGGCGGGGCCGGAGGCCTGGGCGACCAATGAGGGCGGCCCCGGTCACACAAAGCCGGCGAGCGAGCCAATGGGCGCGGGGGGTGTGGCCAGGGCGTCGGGCTCCGGGCATTTATAACAACTTGGAATGCGGTGCCTGGACGCGCGCTCCGAGGCGGCTGTGGGCTCCCGTGCGGGGTGCGGGACGTGTGCCCTAGATCTACCCCCGCAGCCGGCTCCCACTCCGCCCTCTCCCAGCTCCTGCTCGTCATGGAGTCGCTGGCTCTCCCTCGGCGGCCCGGCCCGGCTCCTCCGGCGGCCGCCGCCCTGGCCGACGGGCTCCAGTCGCCCAAGCCGGTGATGAAGAAGCAGGCGGTGAAGCGGCACCACCACAAGCACAACCTGCGGCACCGCTACGAGTTCCTGGAGACCCTGGGCAAGGGCACCTACGGCAAAGTGAAGAAGGCGCGGGAGGGCTCGGGGCGCCTGGTGAGTGCGGCTCCCTCTCGCGGCGCCGGCCGGCGGGCGGCTCGGGCGGGCTGGGCCGGGGGCTCGCGCCGTGCTCCGGGGAGTGGCCCCCTCCACGCCGTCCTCACCAAGCTGAGATCGCGGGGCTGGGGGCGGTGGGGGTGTGTATTGCAGATGTGTCTGTCCATGGCTGCACGGACAATGGTCGTGGACCTGAGAACCCCAACAACACCGGGCAGCGTGTGATGATGGCCAATGAGGAGGCGGACAGTTGGTGCAGGGTGCCTAGAAGTCTAATAGCGTCCTTAGAGATGAGAGGTCTCCCTATAGAAGATGGAACTTGAGTTGGATTTTGCTTGGCACAGACTCCCAATAGAGTGGAATGGGAAGAGGAAGTAGAAGGCACCTGATCCTAGCAGGGGGTTAGTACCAGTAAATGTGTGTGTTTAAATGAATGAGTGAGGCCTCCAGTTCTCAACTCAGTTCTGTGAGTCTGGCAGCCCAGCACACTACGGAGGTCTGCACAGGGATGGGGTGGGGGTAGGTTCGACACCGAAGTCCTTTCTAAATCTAAGAGTGAGCCGAAGTTTCCGTATGATGAGTTTTTTTTTAAATATATTTTTATTGATTTTAGAGAATGAGAGGGAGAGAGAGATAGAAACATCAAGGATGAAAGAGAATCATTGATAGGCTACCTCCTGTACACCCCCTGCTAGGGATCGAAACCAAAACCCGGGCATGTGCCCTGACTGGGATCCAACTCTGACCTCCTTGTTCATAGGTCATCACTCAACCACTAACCAACACCAGCAATATGATGAGGTTTTTATTCTGAGAAATGTGAAACCAGGCTCTGGTGCAAGGTCCAGGGTGCCCCAAGATACCTTTGGGTCCAAGGCCTTTTCAGGAAGGTGTCCTGTTAATTTGGTGTGTGTGTGTATGTGTGTGTACATGTTGTAGTAATAGTAGTAATCTGTGGGACCTTGAGCAATTAATTTATCTCTGTACTCTCAGTTTCCCCTTCTGCAAATACGGAGAAACCTCAGCCTCCCTCACAAGCTGCTTTGAGGATTAAATGAGAAGCAAGTGTGAGTGTAAATTGTTCTGACATGAAGAAACCACAGTGAGAACTGATGCTTTTATCTGAAAGAGTGGCAGGCTTGCCGAACGTTAGTTAACAGTGGTTTTCAAACTCGAGTTTAATATGCATAGGCGTCAACGGGGATGCTTGTTTGAAATCCTTATTCTCTGGTTCCACACCCACGGGGTTTTATCCTGAAGGTCTTGGATGGGACCAAATAATCTGTATTTTAGCAAGCCTTTTAGGGCAGGTGCTCTAGGGATTGTTTTGCCAAATCCAGTTGGGTGCTGGTTATGAGATGTGTGGGAGCACAGGGGTGTGTGTGTGTGTGTGTGTGTGTGTGTGTAGCCATGGTTTGCCCTATCGGCTATGGCTGCAGTCGCCTCCCCAGATTGTTTGCTTTAGCAGCCAGTAGCTGGTTTGAAATTCAAGAAGTCGTTTCATTGGTGAAGGAGAGTGGATGCTGGCAAAAGGGGATGGATTTGTGGCCCCGTCAATTGGACCGGGTATGTTTTTTCTGCTAATGCCTGGCATGGTCCCCTGTTGCCTGCTGCCAGGTTACAGCTATTGGGCAATCATGTACTTCCTGACTTTCCTTTTCTTTCTCTTTCTATAAAGTGTGAGGGCCTGGTGAGGCTCCAGGCTTCAGGCTCCTGGGCCCAGGCTTTGTCAGGGGCTTAGCTGGGAAATAGCTGATTGTGGGGGGCAGGTTGGGTTGGGAGGTCTGGAGGGCCCCCAAACTGGGAAACTGAAATTTAAGTTTATAGATTCCATCAGGCTTTTGACCTAGGTCACCGCATATACTAGTAGGAGAGAGAGGGAGGAAGGCGGGAGGTGGGGTGTGGAGCAATAGAGAGATCTTATTGATTCTGGAATGAGATAAACCAGCTTTCAGTTTTCAAATCACAGTGTCTGTAGGCAGGGAGTCCAGCTCTTGTTATATCAGAGCACTGACTCCAGAAGGTACTCCTCGCCCCATGCAGGGAGCTGAGATCTGTAGGAATGGGACCTGTTCTGAACCTCCCTGGTCCATAGACCGTCCTGTGCTTCTGCTGGGCACTTGCTCAGGGTCTCTTCTCCTTGTGGAGCAGCTGCCTGCTGCGGTAATGGTTCCTCAGTTCTGGAGAGGAGTCCTCTCTCCCCCCCCCATCATTCCTGCCTCTTCACTGTCCCCCCTGAAGAGAGACCAACCTCAGGATCTTCAATGGGAGAGAGAGACGTGGGAGCCGCCCAAGATACCCCCTCAAAATGAACTGAGAGTATTGGTAGAGGCTAAATTCGGAGGAAGACCTGCTGGGTGACTCGCATCCCACTTTTCTCTCCACTTTTCCAGACCTTTTCCCATCCCCAGCCTGCCTAGATGGGCTTGTCAGGGGCTGGATGGGACTGTCCGGAGGGAGGGGCAGGTGGGCAGGACTAATGGCTACTCCAGGAGGGCATCAAAGGAAAAACAAATATTTGCTCTGGATCTTCTAGTCTCCAAGTACATTCCTGGTGTCCCGATGACATTTCCTCCTGTGACCCTCCCAGCTCCCTCACTCCCCCTCCCCCTAAAGAGAAAAACACCCGCTAGCAGGGTTGACCAGGGCCTTTGGGATGATCTGCACGGAAGTCTTAACCTCCAAGGGCTTCCATGAGGAACATGAGGGGGGTCCAAATGGCTAATGATCTGGGGCAGAGGTGCTTCTGTCTGACATATTATATGGCTTGTTGGGATTTGAATATGACTGAGATGGTCCTATTCCTTCATTGACAGATGGGGAAACAGAGGCCCAGAGAGGAGAGGAGACTTGTTCTAAGGCTGGTTAGTGGCATGCCTGCAACATAGGCCCCTGATCTGACCACCCCAAGTCCTGGATCACCACTACTGAGTCTTGGTCTGAGAGTTGGCCTTCAGTTGGGCCCGGCCTGTCTCAGTGTGTTTTGTCATTCCAACAGTCGTCTCCAGTCACCTTCTCAGAGCTTCAGGCAGTTGGAGGATCACTGAGAACCGACTCCCACACACACACTCTGCCTAGAAAGGATCCTGGTTGTGGGTGAACTACACTACATTCCTGGTTTGTACCTTGTCAGGAAGGCTGCTTAACTCAGAGTCAGACTGCAAGGGTTCAAAATCCTGCCTCTAGTGCTCACCAGCTCTGTGATCTCTCTGTACCTCAGTTTCCTCATCTGTAAAGTGGGGTTATAGTAACTCCTACTGCATGGTCTTCTCACAGGCTTAGATATGATAATATATTGTCAAGTGCTGAGCACAGTAGCTGATACAGTGTCATCCCAGCGAGGCTGCTTTGACTAGACCCTCCCCTCTCCGGGAGGCATCCATCCTGGGTCTGTCTGCCCTGAGCAAGAGACTGGGCTGTGCTCCGCTTCTTTAAGCCTAACCACTTTGCTCTCTGCTTTGTTCAAAGTCCTAGTCTCTCCTTCAGCCCCTTCTCCAGAGAAGGGCTCCCACCTGGCCAGCTGCCCTCCCAGTGCCTCCTGCACCTGCCTGCTCAGCAGCAGGGAGGAGGCTCCGGCTGCAGGCGACTCTTGTCCTTGGGCTCTGGCCAAACCACACAAGAGAGCTGGGCAGGGAAGTGCCTTGCCCAGCAACCTGGCAGAGTGGGCAGGAGGGTGGCAAGGAGGGGTGGGCACAGCATGTGGTTTAGGGGAAGCAGCTCAGACTCCCCTCATTCCTGGAGCCCATTCCTCTCCCTGGCTGGTTCTCTGGCAGGCTTGGTGGGGTGGTGAGCACCCACACTCTAGGCTCATCCCCACTCTGCCCGGCCTAGGCCAGCCCAGCTCAGCCTCTCCTCCATTATCTAAGTGGGTCATCCTCCATCTCCTTGCCCCACCTCCCAGATGGCAGCTGCTTCATGAAAGGTCAGAGAGGAGCCAAGGACCTTGAGATGCCCAGTTTGCACCCTCTTTCCTGGGACCTGGGACCAGCACCTTTAGGTCTTGTTTTTCTAAGACCTTTCTGCCATCCTCTCCTCAGTCCAGATCATTCCTGATCTGAGTTGGGGGATGGGTAGGGGCAGTGTTTAACCAATTGAGCCCCAGCACCCATCTCCCCAGTGTTTATATAAGTGCGATGGGGGTGGCTGGTGGTAGTGTACAGCTTGGCCCAGGGCAGGGTGTGGGGCATTCCCTGCTCCAGGGGCGGGAGGTAGGGAGCTGGAGGCAGGGCAGGGCACCTGCAAGGATCTTTTGTCTTTTGAGACGGCAGCTTCTCCAGGGAACACCTCTCCCTCTTGGATCCTGACTCTGCCTTGATGTAGATCAGGGAACCTTCGAAGAGTCGGTGCACCTCTTCTGCAGTGTTTGCCATTTGCGACCTGGGGTAGGAGAATTCCCCCTGCAGGGCCACCGGAGCGAGAAAAACCCTGGGCTGGATCACTAGGAAAGGGCCTCTGGAGGTGAAAAGAGACAGAGATAAGGGCCTCGGAAAAGCTCTTTATTAACATACCTGGGCCGCGCCTTCCCTGGCATAGTAGCGGCTGACCCATTTCTGAAGACACTCAGCAGACAATGCTGGCGTTTGGAGGGGAGCTTAAAGATCCTGGTGTGCAAATTTGTGAATGGTCCCTTTCTTTCTGGCCTTTGCTCAAACATTTCTCTCTGCCTGGGATGCCCCTGTTGCCCCTCCCCAGCCTACCCTCCTTGGCTGGGCAAACCCCACTCATCTATCAAGGTCTGAAACCCTTTTCTCCCTGCTCCTCCGGGCAGAGGAAGCTCTCTCCAGCGCTCCTGGAGCCCCTGGCAGGCAGGGGTCTCCGTTTTCACACCCATCACACTCGACTGGGAGTTGATTTGCCAGTCCTACCACTGGACTGAAGATCTTGGTAGAGGGACTGTCCAGTTTTTGTCTAAATCCCCAACTCCTAACATAGCACCAGGCACATAGTAGGTGTTCAGCAAGTGTTTGGAGAATAAATTACCTTTCATTTTCCAGATGAGGACAATCAAACCAGCCAGACTAGTTGACCAGATTATTTAAGTGACTCGTCTTGAGTTGCAGAGTTCAGCAGTGGCAACTAAAGATGAGATACCTGGGCTCTTGACACCCACTCCACAGACCTAGTGTTCTCATGTCCATTAATATAATTGTTGTGTCTGGGTTCCCTGTTCCCTCTGAATAGAGTGGCCGCATACTGTATTATCTAAACCTGGGTACTTTGGAGAAGAAGGGGTCCCTATTAGTAATATTACTGGAATGAACCAGGATTGTCTCCGGGCATGTGATCTCTCTACCTCTGGGTGATCCATTCAGCTCCGGTCAGTATGTTTTGATTCTAGAGCAGTGGTTCTCAACCTGTGGGTCGCGACCCCTTTGGGGGTTGAATGACCCTTTCACAGGGGTCGCCTAAGACCATCGGAAAACACATATAATTACATGTTGTTTTGTGATGAATCACTATGCTTTAATTATGTTCAATTTGTAACAATGAAATTGGGGGTCACCACAACATGAGGAACTGTATTAAAGGGTCGCAGCATTAGGAAGGTTGAGAACCACTGTTCTAGAGAATGGTTGCTCAACTACCTTGCAGATGGAGAACAAAGGTCCCACCGAATTAGTGCCTGTATCAGAGGTTGCCTCTCCACCCATGCCCAGGAAGAAAGGCAGAAAATCTTATCTGGCACTGGCCCCATCAGTCAGGGATCAGCCCGATGACGTCACCAATATATCTAGGTTGCGATTCGTGTTCACCAGTAAACAATTGTTGAGTACTTTCGATTGCGGAGCTGTGTCTAGGCCTGAGCTTTGGCTACATCTAATTTACTTTGCTAGGCTAGCCAGCAGGTAGCTAAGGGCCCTTCTCATGGGATAGGTTGAAGAACAGCGGCCCAGCCCCACCAGGGCACTGACACCTTGCTCTTCTGGTCTGTCACCTGCTTAGGGACTGGTGGAGGCCTGCTGACATTTCTTGTTTCTTTCCTGGGAAGTGCCAGACACACTGTGCTCTCCTAAGACCTCATGTAGATGATGGGGTCCTTGGCCTCCCCCCTGAGGCCAGCGCATAAGCTTACAGGAGGATGGGACTGTCCATGGAGGTTAACAATTCTGATGTAGAGTCATAGGCTTACAAGTTTGAGAGAAATGTGTCTCCAGGTTTGACTTGTACCCTCTATCTCTCCACCAGAGTGCTGTTTCTAGCAAGGCTCAGACCCCTTTATTCAAGTGGGGGGGAACACCTCCTTTCTTTTAGGTCTTGTCTTTTTGAGAGCTCTGCCTCCTAAGCCTAGGATCGTTTCTCTCACTTGTATTTGTTTGTGTGTACACAACTATACATCCAAGATGTGCTTAGCCTTTGCATATGTGTGCATCTTAAGCTTTCAAATAGTTCTGTCTCATTATCAAGTTAAGTGATTCATGTATGACTTTTTACTATCTGTTAATAGGTTTTTATGGCCCTTTATCTGAAGAGTACATAGTACTTTATCCATTGTCTGATTATTCAAATGCAGACATTTAGAGAGAAAAGAATTAGTCCATAAAATCGTGTCTCCCGGGAGAGGAGAGGGGTCTGGGGAGAGGTGTGCAGGAGCTGCGCTCCAGGCTGAAACCTCAGAGCTGATGGAGGATTCCAGCCCCTTTGTCCCCATCCCCACCCCCTGTCCAATTCTAAACCAGGGATTTTGCAGCACAGCTCTCGGGGGTGGTTTGGAGCAGAAGGGGTGGGGGCGTGCGGCGAGCACCTGCAGCTGCAGCGTGGGCCTCCACAGCATCTTGGCGGGAGGCTCCATGGTGACAGTCCCTCCCGCTGCCATTGTCCTCCCTGTCCTGCTCAGGGACGCAGAGAGCTGGGCCTCGCTCTTTCACGGAGGCAGCTCCCGGGGAGGAGGGCGCGCCGATGGCCCGTTGCCGGGGTGACGGCCCTGGGCACTGTCCGCAGCTACTCTTACGGGATTACGCTGGGCTGTTCCGCATTCTCGTCGCTGTCCCTGTGAGCAGGAAGCCATTGTCCGCCTCCGGAGCCTGTGAAAGGGGGGATTAGAGGCCCCTCCCTTCCAGAAGTGGTTTTCTTTTCTGTCTCCTTTTGAACCTCGAGGGGAGGCCAACCCTCCTGGGAAACTGAATGAGGAGCTGTTTACCTCAGTCTGTGCCTTCGGGTTTCTCATAACTTGCTGTGTCCCGTGAAGGGGAAGTCTTGTGTTTACCATTTGTATGTCCCTGCACCAGCCTTGACAGGAAGTGACCAGCCCTGTGACACCCCGCCCTGCCCAGCACCCGATGCCAGCGAGGAAAGCCTCTCAGGCCGTGGCATTTGGTGACATTTGCATGGCTCATCTCACAGTCAAAGCGGGAAAGCACCGCACAGGTCCATTCAGCCTGTTTGTTTCACTGAAAAGAAAACTGAGGCTCGGAGAAGGGGTGGGACTGCCCATGGGGACAGTGACAGAGCCTGGAGGAGGACTCCGGTCTCCTGGCTCCCCAGGCCGTGTCTTCTGCACACACACACACACACACACACACACACACACACACACTGCACAGCTGTGTTTCTCCCCTTTCTGTCACCTTGGCCCTGTGTGGGATGGAGAGGGAGGGGGACAGAGACCCCTCCGTCTCCAGAGCTCTGCCGAAAGGGCATCTGGCAGCTCTTTCTTCATTCTCCCTCCCCTCCCTCCACCCTTGCTGACCTGCCACGAAAACCATCTGGAACATTCGTCCTTTTATGGTATGTTCACCTTTACAGACAAGATAGCAAAGCCCGGCGGACGCGGTTGCTGGGAGAGGGACATTCCTTCCCTGGACCGAAGAGACCTGTGTGGGGTTTTTTGTTTTCATAAATTTTTTTGTGGTAAAATATAGATAACATAAAATTGACCATTTTAAGCATTTCAGTGTCCAATTCAGTGGCATGCAGTACAGTTACAATGTTGTACAACCATCACCACCATGCATTCCTCACCTCGTTTCATCACTCCGGACAGAAACCCTCTGTACCCACTAAACAGTCACTGCTCATCCCACCACCGGTCCCTTCCCCTGGTCACCTCCGTTCTACTTCCTGGCCTATGCATTTTCCGATTCTGGTCGCCTCATACAGATAGGCTCGCGCAGCATTTGGCCTTGTGCGTCTGGCTCACTTCACTTAATATAATGCTGTCCAGGTTCATCCCAGTCGGTGCCAGTTAGTGACAGTATGACTTGGAGCAGGTCACTTGACCCCTCTGGGTACCAGTCTCCTTGCCTGTAAATGGGGATGAAGATACTTCCTGTGCCTACCTCCCAGGGCTGTGGGGAGGGCCGGTTAATTTACTAGCACAACAAATGGTTACACAGTGCCTGCTGTGTGCCCGGCACTGTGCTTGGCATCAGGGATCCAGTGGTGGGCAAATCCTTGTCCTCATGGTGTAGTAGGGTAAATTTGTGTAAGTCACAAAGCATCAGCCTTCCGAATGGTTGTTACCTTCCTTGTTCATCACTGGTCCTTACTCCTTCCTGCTGCATGGACCACACCTAGAGAAGGTGCTCTTCAGCCTCTCCGCCATCTTCCCCGGTGGAGGTCAGAGTGGCATCCCTGGGTGCATCCTGTGGCCTTGGCAGCAGCAGCAGCAGGCGGACCACAGTCAGGACTTGGAGAGTGTCCTCCGGGACACTGTTAGCTGCCAGACCTTTCTCTTCATTCTCCAACATTCTCTGTTCCCAGGTGGCCATCAAGTTGATCCGGAAAGAAAAAATCAAAGATGAGCAAGATCTGATGCACATTCGGCGAGAGATTGAGATCATGTCGTCACTCAACCACCCCCACATCATTGCCATCCACGAAGGTACAGAGGCAGGGCGTTTGAACCTGGGAGTGTGTGTGTGTGTGTGTGTGTGTGTGTGTGTGTGTAGAAGCAGTCAGAACAGATGATACAAAGAAAGAAAAGAGACACAGGCTTTGGAGTTGGGCAAAAGCTGAATTTGAAATGCAGTGGTGTGGCTTGGGCAACTATTCAATTTAGTTTCAGGGTGGGCCTCAGTTCCTCATTTGTAAAACGGGATAATCCCACCTACGTCACAGGGTAGTTGCAAAGGCCAAATAAAATGTCACCGTGTGCTCAGCTCATGGGAGGAACTCTGTGTACTGTAGGCTTTTTGTGGTTATTGTTAGGGTTTCTGTACTTGAACGCTACCTCCCCAACCCAATGAGAGCCTCCGCGATACGGGGGAGGCTGAAACACAGAGGCCTGCCCCTGTCTCGGGTGCATGGGTGCTAAGAGCCAGCCTCCTCGGGCCTGCCCTGTCCTCGGAGTCATTCCTGCCATGGGGCTGGCTCCCACCTCTCCTTATCATCTTTCCCAGCCTCCTCTCGCTCTGACAACAGTGGTGGCTTTCCACTCCAGCTGCCCTGTTCCCTGTGACCCAGACAACAAAGTAAGCAAGAGGGGGGGGGGGGGGACGAGGGAAAGAGGGGGAACACCTTCCCACACACATCTGTCTGCTTCCAGCCTTTACATAATATCACTTAGATGGGACCAAGGGATAGCAGCAGAGGGAGGGAGACAATGGCTTTGCCCTCTATCTGAATATTCCTGGTGGGAAATAAGAGAGAAGTCTTCTCTCTTGGGTTATATCATAGGAAGGCTAAGGGCAGAGCCACTCACATGGCCCTGTGGCCTGAGCCTGTCCCACAGGAGCCCAGGCAAGTAGCTGAGAAAGCCAATTGTGTCTCTGTGTATTCCCCCAGGGAAGAGTGGGCATGGCGGAGTATTGGTTAAGCCCGGCTGAACTTCGTGATCACTGTGTGTGTGTGTGTGTGTGTGTGTGTGTGTGTGTGTACACATATGGGTGCATGTCCCACACCCATATCGCCAGCCAGGTCTGGGCACTGAGCTTTGAAGCTCAGGATGTGGCTTCCCCTTCACCTTCCAGTTCTGTAGATGTAGGGCCATCATAGTTACTGTATGTGTGGCAGGGCTCTCCCAATCCATCCCAATCCATCCCCATCCTGCCACAGCCTGCAGGAGGTATGAACTGGGTGGTGGGGGGACTGACCTAGCTGCTGTCCAGAATGTGCTGGCTCTTGACCCCCAATTTCATGGCACAAAGGCTGCAGAGATATGGAGAACCACAGGGGGAAAGGCTCAGCTAGACACACCCCGGGGAGGCTGGGCCACCACCCATCAGGGCCACTCACTCATGTTCCCCTGGGAAAAAGCTCAGTCCTCCCGGCCATGTATCCAAGTGCCTGGGAGCTGGGACTCCTCCTGGGAGAAGCCACCTCCCTCAGCTCCTTCTCACCTGCTAGACAGCAGCAGCCCGGGGCTGGCCCAGCAAGCCCAACTCCTAGGACCTGTTTGACACAAAGATGCAATGTCAAGGCCATGCGTGTTCTGACATAATCCAGCTGAAGGGCCAGTTTGGCGACCTACTCGTTCCCTACCTTTCCAGGGGGCTCGAGCCAGGACAAGTCCTCAGGGGGCAGGAGGGCCCCTCCTACACGTGTTGATGAGCCAGATGGGGCAGGCTGACTGCCAGGAGCCCAGCCAGTCAATTAGGGCCCTGGAAGTACTCTGGGTGGGAAGTCAACGGTGTTGGGGGAGATGAATACTCAGCTCTCCATTGTACTTTATTGTGTACAAAGCACTTACATATACTTCTGTCCCTTTTCTGATCCTCAAGGCAGGCATTGTGTGGGCATTATTATATACATTACCTCTAGGAGGACACTGCTAATACATCTGACAGTAGGTGGCACGTATTGAGGGCTTGTTTATGTCAGTCAGCTCCTCCGCCAGCTTGCTCAGCCAGCCCCCGGCCGTCACCGGCTTTTATCCAGCTCTCACCGCAGCCCTCAGAGGTTGCCATTATCATCCCCCTCTTCAAATGAGGAAACTGAGGCACACTGGTTGAATAGCTTGCCAAGGTCACCAGCTAGTGAGTGATGGGGCCAGGATTCAAACCCCAAACCGACATTCTTACTGATGGGTCGAGAAGAGATTTGCCCCAAGTCCCAAAGCAAAAAGCACCGAATTCTGAATCCGACAGCCTTTCCATTCTCATCCAGCGATGGCTCTGCCCTTTGGGAACTTGCAAGGTGGTTTCAAGAACCCACAAAAGCCAGAACTTCCAAGGAGAGGGCGGGTGAGCCAGTTTCCTTGGCCTTAACGAGCTGCTGCTGGAAGATGTGGAGAGCTTCAGAGGCCCTTCTCCTGCCCTTCCTTGCCACCCTCCTGCCCCATCAGACATCCCTGGAGGAAGGTCCTGGAGGGAGGTGTCTGGTCCAGGGCCAGGGCGAGGCCGGTGGCCCCCAGGGGGAGCAGTGTGCTCGGGCGGGTCCTGATGTCCCATCTTGTTCTGCCCAGTGTTTGAGAACAGCAGCAAGATGGTGATCGTCATGGAGTACGCCAGCCGGGGCGACCTGTATGACTACATCAGCGAGCGGCAGCGGCTCAGCGAGCGCGAGGCCCGTCACTTCTTCCGGCAGATCGTCTCCGCTGTGCACTACTGCCACCAGGTGGGCCCCTACCCGCCCAGCCCTGCTCCGAGGGGTGGTCCCTGGGCTCTGGGGCTGGTTTGGGCCAGAGAGATTCCAGATTGATCCAGGGTCGCACAGGGAGACCAAGCAGAGGCAAGACTCGATTCTGGGTCGAAACCGGTTTGGCTCAGTGGATAGAGCGTCGGCCTGCGGACTGAAGGGTCCCAGGTTCGATTCCGGTCAAGGGCATGTACCTGGGTTGCGGGCACATCCCCAGTGGGAGATGTGCAGGAGGCAGCTGATCGATGTTTCTCTCTCATCGATGTTTCTGACTCTCTATCTCTCTCCCTTCCTCTCTGTAAAAAATCAATAAAATATATTTAAAAAAAAAAAAAAAGACTCGATTCTGGGCTCTCGGCCTAAGGGATGCGAGGCTTTGAGTCCCTTGGCCAGAGGTGGAAGGGCCTGTGATGACCATGGGTATTCCCAGCCGACTTGTGCCCCCCCCCCACACACACACACCCCGCCTTGTGTTTGCCTCACTTTCCAGACCAGGCCCTCAGGCACTGCCCTCCCTGCTGACCTCCCCCTGAACCTCCCCCTCCCTCTTTCAGAATGGGGTTGTCCACCGGGATCTCAAGCTGGAGAACATTCTCCTCGATGCCAATGGCAACATCAAGGTGAGCCCACTTCCTGTTTCCGGCAGCTCCCACTCCTCCCAGCCTTTCTGCACTGTCCCTCGCCAAGTATCCCTATGCTCTTAGGGGTTCCAGGAGGAGTCGAACAAGCTCCGACTTACATGTTCGTTTTATGGATGGAAAACCGAGGCCTCAAAATAAGGGGTGACTTGCACAAGGTTCTATGGCTAACGAGAGGCTGAGCCTGGGCTAGAACCAAGGCCTTCTGACTCCCCAACCAGTGCTCTCGACATCACAAGACTGACAGGAGTCTAGGTCTAGGGGCAGTTTTTGGTCACTTGGGACGGGCAGGGAGCAGACCCCGGCCTTGTTCTCCCTGCTGTCATGCATGCGCGCACATGCGCACACCACATGCCCACTTTAATCTGCTGCAGTTAGGTAGCCCTATGGCACTTTTCCCCAAAGGCCAGGCCTTCCGGCGCCAGCTTCCCGCAGCGTCTGGTTCCCTGAGCCTAAACAGTTTAATTTAGGAATGAGAAGGGCACACTGATGAGATAAACTCAGATCACAGCGCTGGAAGGGGCAGATGTCAGGCCGGCCCCTGCATGTACCTGGGAGGGCACTGACTCTGCACTCAGACTTCCTCAGAATCTTCTAGAACTCAGGACATAGTCCCTTCTCCAGTAGCTCATGACCTGTGCTTGGAGGTGCCCTGGCACTGACTTCATTCCCCCTTCCCAGCCAATTCCCGGAGCAGGTGGAGCTTGCTTTGATGTGTGGGATGGGGGAGGGGAGCAGAGCCAATAAACCCAGGACTGGCACGAACTCTCCATCTGCACCAATCACCTGCCTCATATGGGCTTCACTGGAAACTGCTCGATAAGAGGCCAATAAAACCATAAATGAAGGAGCCAGAGTTTCATAAACAGGCCCTCTCCACCCTAGACACACATGGCCCTCTGCTGGGGGTGAAGAGGTCAGGAGCAGAAGGGCACTGGCCTCAGCCTCTGTCTGAGAGGATAGGTGGGGAAAGGTCTTTCTGGGAAACGAGAGGTGGACTTGGGGCCTCTCAAAGCCTCGGTATCCGATGGCTCAGGGAGTCCTGTGAGAAGGTTCCCTCTCCTGGTCTATCACTCTGCCCATGATCTTTGTTCTGCCCTCACCGTTGCTTCTCAGCCATACCGGGCTGACCCCATGATCCTGCCCAGGTGTGGACATAAACAAGCCCTTTGCTAGGAAGGGCCGCCCAGCCTTGCGTGCTTACTCAGAGGTGGGGTGGCATGCTGCTGAGGGCCGGACACTGGCATGAGCTGTTGAGTCTCCCCCTTCCTCTGGTCAACCTTCCCATTGAGACCCATTCATGGGTCACACCTGTGCTAGGAGCTGCAGGAGGGATGGAGACAGGAGGTCAGCACGGGGAGCATTGATGTGGCAACATGAGGAGACAGAGCTGCTAGGCAGTGGCTACAGCAGGCCATTGGAAACTGTAGGGCTTCGTGGGAGATCTCAGGGCAATGGAGGGCTTCCCAGGGGAGGTGGGCTTGCTGGATCCGGAGGATGCATATGCCTGGGGTGGAGTACAGCATGAGCAGAGGAGCCTGGGAACAGGGCGGACCCTGGAACCCTCCCACACCTCTACCGAAGCGCTCATTGACACAGTTTCCGCGGGCTCTTTCTTCCAGGGCTGAGCTGGGTTGACAGTGCCCAGTGTGGGGTGGGGGTCATGGGCAGCCTTTCCTCCTGCTGGGGCCTAGGTTTCCCCAGGGTCTGGGAGGGGCATGAAAGCAGCAGACCAGCCCAGGCCTTGGCGTGACCCTGCGTGTTTGTCCCCCTGCAGATTGCTGACTTTGGCCTCTCCAACCTCTACCACCAAGGCAAGTTCCTGCAGACGTTCTGCGGGAGCCCCCTCTACGCCTCGCCCGAGATCGTCAACGGGAAGCCTTACACAGGCCCAGAGGTGGGTGTCCGCCCTCCGCCACCAGCCTCCTCCGCCATTTCCTGTGACTTTAGCTGCTCAGAACATAAAATTCAACATTGTTCGTTCACACACAGCCCCTCCCCCAAAGTAGTGACTTGCCAGGTCTCTAGCCAGCAGTGGCCAAACTGGAACGAGAACTTAAATCTCTTGACCCTCAGTCTAGTTCTGTGCTGCTCACCTTCCTGGTTTCCATCACCTTTCCCAGCACCCAGCCAGCCACCCCTTCCTGTCCCGAAGGATGGCCTCGCCACTGCTCTCGTGTTTGTGGCTGCCCCTGCCAAGGAGAGGTGATTGACAGCACCTCTCCCCTGAGCCTCAGTGCCTCCTGCAGCGTCACTCCTTTGCCCCTGGATACTAGAGGGAGGTGGCCCTCAGATGCACTGGCCTCTCTCTGGTGTGCAGGGGGGGCTGGAGGCCCTCCAGCATCCTTGCTGATCTCCCCCCTCCCCCCTCTCTCAGGTGGACAGCTGGTCCCTGGGTGTTCTCCTGTACATCCTGGTGCATGGCACCATGCCCTTTGACGGGCAGGACCATAAGACACTGGTGAAACAGATCAGCAACGGGGCCTACCGGGAGCCACCTAAACCCTCAGGTGAGTGGGAGGTATGGGTGTTCGCATCCAGGCCCTGGTGTCCTGAGCTAATTCCTGAGGCAGGAGTTAAACAGTGGCAGCAGAGTGAGGAGGACACCCCAATGCAGATGAGAGGACCCTCCACCACCTCCTGCTGTTACCTCTCTGCCTCCAGTGTCTGTGACCTTCCTGCCCTTATGGACATGCTTTGTTGTATTTGGGGAATGCTTCCTAAGGTCTAACCTAGATCCCTTTTGCTATAGTTGTCTCGCTTTCCACTGCTTTTGCCCTCATCCTTTGAAATCTTTTTGTCCTTTCTACCTACATTGTAAGAACCTTGGTTTACCCTTCAGCACAGTCCGCCTCCTCGGAGGGTAGCATCTCTGAGGAGAACGAGGGTGCACATTCACATACAACAAGGCTACTGAAGGGGCCCGAGCCCTGAGGGGTGTGGCATGAGAGAGGAAATTGGCAGAGTCCATCCAGGAGAGCCAGAGGCTGGGCGGTGGCCGGGCTGGGGCGTGTGTGTGGAGCCCTCGGTGGGAGTAAACGTAACTTGCCGAGGAGTGAGTGGTGTCTTAGCACAGATGGGGTAAGCCAGTGAGAGGGGACGGTGGGTGGCCGTTCTCATGGCTGCCAATCTGAAGCCCCTTGTCTTTGTCTTCCAGACGCCTGTGGCCTGATCCGGTGGCTGTTAATGGTGAACCCCGCCCTCCGGGCCACCCTGGAGGATGTAATCAATCACTGGTGGGTCAACTGGGGCTATGCCACCCATGTGGGGCAGCAGGAGGCTCTGCAGGAGAGAGGGCACCCTGGCAGTGACTCTGGCCGGGTGTCCGTGGCCGACTGGCTCCGGCGGTCCTCCCGCCCCCTCCTGGAGAACAAGGCCAAGGTGTGCAGCTTCTTCAAGCAGCATGCGCCGGGAGGGGGCAGCGTGGCCCCCAGCCTGGAGCGCCAGCATTCACTCAAGAAGTCCCGCAAAGAGAACGACATGGCCCAGTCTCTCCAGGGGGACCCGGCTGACGACAGCGCCCCTCGCCCCAGCAAGGGCAACCTCAAACTCCCGAAGGGCATTCTCAAGAAGAAGGTCGCTGCCTCCTTGGAGTGTCGGGGGGAGGACTCTGAGCTCAGCCCGTCCCCCACGGGCCCAGAGCAGGCTGCCCCCCCGCTCCCCAAGAAGGGCATCCTCAAGAAGTCCCGGCAGCGGGAATCCGGGTACTACTCCTCTCCTGAACCCAGCGATTCCGGGGAGCTCTTGGAGGCGGGGGACGTGTTCACGAGCAGGGACTCCGTGGAGCAGAAGCCGCCCCAGGCCCCGGGGATGCTCCACCATCGCAAGGGCATCCTCAAACACAACGGCAAGTTCTCCCGCACCACCACCCCCGCCACCTTCGGCTCCCTGAATGAACTGGCCTCACCTCGCCCGCCGTCCAGGGCCAGCCGCCCCTCGGGAGCTGTGAGTGAGGACAGCATCCTGTCCTCCGAGTCCTTTGACCAGCTGGACCTGCCCGAGCGGCTCCCCGAGCCCCTGCTGCGGGGCTGTGTGTCTGTGGACAACCTCACGGGGCTGGAGGAGCCCCCCTCCGAGGGCCCAGGAAGCAGGGGCCTGAGGCGCTGGAGGCAAGACTCCCTGGGGGAAAGCTGCTTTTCCCTGAGGGACTGCCAGGAGGTGACGGAGGCCTACCGACAGGCCCTGGGCATCTGCTCGAAGCTCAGCTGAGGGTGGGGGGGCATTGCCCCAGTGGACGGGCTCTAAGATGCACCTGGCAACACCCTGAGGGGAGACGCCTTCTCCCCGGCCTCTAGGCCCAGCATTCCAGCCCAGAGGCTGAGATGGTTGGCAGTTTAGTCCTGGGGAGGACCGGATAGGAGGAAAATGGGCACGTGAAAGGCATTGAGGGCTCAGTGTCCTCAGCCCTGTGGAACCAAGAAGCTAGTGGAGGGGAAACAGGTAGAGAAGTAGAGGGAAGGCCCGTGGCCAAGTCCAGGTTCTCTGTCCGGTGTCTGCAGCCCCATGGAAAGAGCACTCTTTTCAGTACCCATGTCCGTAATTGCTGTGCGTGGTGCCTTCGCCACAGTAGGGATGGAAACTCTTCACATTCCCGTCCCCACCTCCATCCCCACCCGGCACTGAAACTGGAATATGGAAACTGCTCATGTGCCTGGGACGTCCTCGGACAGTCTCCTGTGGGGTGCCCGTCCTTATTTCTCCAGCAGTACCGGTAAGAGAGCACACAACCTGTTTCCTCAAAGGTTCTCTTCCCTTTCCTGTCCTCCAAGCCTGGCCCAGGCCTCCTGGAGTCGCTGCTATGAATCTAAAAGACTTGAAAAGGCTCAGGCTGCTACTGGACTTCATCTCAAGGGGCCCAGATGCCTCAGGACCCCACCTTGAACCTCAAAGGCTCTGTGACCTTCTCCGGCCTCTATGCTGCTCCGGCTACTGAGAATGGATGTGCCTATGTCTCTGGGTTTTCCGGACCCTAGAATGTCCTATTTATGTTTTCAAGCTCTGTGTTCTTTAAAAAAGTGAATTTTGCTGTTTTCTATACTGTGAATACTGTGTTCTGGAAAGTCCACTATACATGTAACTTTTGTGTACAGAGAAGTGTTTTTGCAGTGATTCCCTACTGATCACGGGGAAGGGGGCCCTTTTATAAATCCGCGTGTTCCGTTGCACTGTCCAGAGAAGGTCTCTGGCTCCCTCATCCACGCCCTGATTCCGTCTACCTGATGGTCCCTCTTCCCTTCTCTGTGGCCAGGAAAAGAACCACTTTATTAAAAACCAGAACGGTGACTGGAAACAGCCTCTGTTGTTCTGTTTGAGGAGGTGGGGCGCAGATCTTTGAGCCTTAACACACTCCTGCTGAGAAACAGGGAAGCTACTTAATAAAAACAAGCCAACAACAAACACCCAGCTGTAGCTCCCAAAAGCTCCTTGATACACCTGCATTCGTGTTCTGCCCTGTTCAACACGCAGGTGGGGGAGCCCTGGGCTGAGGGTCCCAATTTGCTCTTCCTGTTGTTGGCGCTAAAGGGAGAACTGGGCTCGGCTGATTGTCCAGCCCTGCCCCCAGCCTTCTCTGCCTCTTCTTCCACCCCTCCCCCACCCAGTTCTGTCCCCTGCTGCTTGAAGACACCCCCACTGCCTTTATTCTCTCTCCAAAGAAATCCCCTTGGCTCAGTGTTGGGCGGGCTCCCCACTCTGCCCCCACCGCCTGACCCCTAGTGAAATAAAGAATGCTTGGAATGCCCCCCCTTGAAGGCTGTCCTTCAACCCCCAGCAGAGCATTCCCAGCCCGCTCTGCTCCTTTGAGAAACTCCAGGGTTCCATGAGGACTGGGATGAAAGGGAGAATAAGGACAAAGTGCAGGCAAGCAGCCCGAAGGCTAGCTTCAAGCAGGCTCCCTCCCTATGCCCTACTCCCTACCTCCAACGCATCCCGGTCCCAGCCAGCTGCAGCGCCCTTTCCACAGCACACCTGCTCTTCTGGGGTGGAGCCTCGGATCCTCGGGATCTTCCCTCCCCTTCTCTGCAAAGTTGCTGGGTCTGGGGAATAAATGAGGTGTCCAGGCAAGTATGGGGCAAGATGCTAGAGCAAACAAGAAATTGCTCAAACTACAACTGGAGTATTTCGGTCGATATCTTCAAAGTCCTACTGAGGACTGGAGCTCTGGGCTATAAACTCCGGGTGAACACCGGGAAAATATAAGGGAGGGTTTTTTCACTCAAGAAGCGTAGAGTTCAGCTGCAGAGTTGGCTGTCTCCTTTATTCATTCAGCTTAGGAATCAGCCCTATTCTCTACTAAGCTCTGTGGAGACAAAGGTTATTGCCGTATCTCTGGTGCAATGCGTAAGATCTTAGCCTCAAGGAGGCTGCAGATTGGACAGCAAGGTGGCATGCGTAAAAATAAGTAAAATTCGGACTTCTGGTCAAGATGGTGGTGTAGGTAAATGTGACATTCGCCTCCTCCCACAACCACATCAAAATTACAACTAAACGACAGAACAACCATCTTTCAGAACTGCCTGAAATCTGGCTGAATCCAAGTCTGACAACTAGGGAATTAAAGAAGAAACCACACTGAGACTGGTAGGAGGGTGGAGAACAGAACGGGCTGGTCCCACACCCATGTGTGACGGATAAAAATTGAGGAGTGAGGGGTCCCAGCCCCACATCTGGCCCCCACCCAAGCCCAGGGTTCCAGTACCAGGAGGAGAAGTCCCCATCACTTCTGGCTATAAAACCCAGCAGGGCTTGTAACTGAGTGAGACGGAGGACATCTGGAGTCCCAGGCAGTTTCTCTTAAAGGGGCTACACACAGACTTATTCAGACTCATCCCTCTGAGCTCCAGCACCAGGGCAGCAACTCAAAAGGCACCAGTAACATATAGGGAGGAACTCAATTGTCTGGCATCAGGGGAGCTTGAGGGGAGCATCTTTCTGCTGACAAAAGTGCTGGCAGAGGCCATTGTTCCTTTCTAGAGAATTCGTGCACGGGTAGGGTTCCTAGGCCTGGCTGGTGATCAGGGCCGATTGGGCCGTCTGCTGCCAGCTGAGGCCTTTCTTCATTCCACACCATTCCCTGGTGGTCAGCACACATCATAGTGAGTGATCGAACTCCCAGTCTCCTGGTTGAATTCTCAAGGGGACACTTTGCATATTAGCCTTTTATATATATAGATATGTCACCTATAATTGAAAAATAAAAATTATTTTAAAAAATAAGTAAAATTCAACAGAGAAAGTGTGAGTTCAGAGAATGTGGAAGGGGACTTTGAATGATGGTAAAAAGAACTGAAACTTAGGAGATAATAATAGGGGTTATAACCCAGCTGGCATGGCTCAGTGGTTGAGCATTGACCTATGAACCAGGAGGACACAGTTCCATTCCAGTTCTGGGCACATGCGTGGGTTGCAGGCTTGATCTCCCATTGAGGGGCATGCAGGAGGCAGCCGATCAATGATTCTCTCTCACCATTGATGTTTCTATCTCTCTCCCACTCCCTTCCTCTCTGAAATCAACAAAAATATATTTCAAAAAAATAATAGGGGCTACCAGTGCTTATGCATCAAGCACTGGGTTGTGTTATTTCATTTTATACAATTTTCATCATTCTCGTGTTACAGAAGAAGAAATTAAGACTCAAAAACATTAAATAACTTGCCTACTTAGCAAGTGGGAAAACCAGACCTCAAATCCAGGTCGTTGGGATGCCAACTCTTAGTGGGATGGGGTGGGGGTACATTCTATCTGGATTGGGTTGGAGAGTTGAGAGCAAGAATATAAGTGAATGGAACGACAAATATTTATTGAGCATTTATTACATGCCAGGCTCTTTCCCAGGCAGGAGGTATATAGTAGTTCCTCCTACAAAAATGTCTTCCCCTTATCTCTACAAGCCCCAAAGGAAGCTGGGAAAGAAGAGGGTGAGTGGGAACAAGGAGAAGCTAAAGTGAGGGGAGGGACTGGCAGGAAGGGCAGCCACATAAAGGAAATGGGGGAGAAGGCGGCCATAGTCCCTGCTGCCTCATCCCATTAGCACTGTCTCAGCAGGGGGGAAGCTGGCATTTCAGTGGAGAAGGAACTTAAAGATCCTGAGATAGCTGTCCTCCTAGTGACCTGTTTGCTTAACCCCTTCTAAACCAGGGGCTGGGAGGGCACACCGGCAGAGGGGGTGATGTGGGGGAAGCCTGCCAGGGAAGGAGAATCTGGGTGGATAGAGAATACCTATTACCCCAGCCCTAAAGAGACCTAGACTCGGGCTGTGGATCCCACGCTGCAAGGCCCTTCCCCTCACCTGCCACGAAGCTTCATACCAAAAACATTCCAGAAGCAGGCTCCGAGAGATGACGCTGGGCCCCAGGGGAGAATGCTGGAGTCCTAGGAATATTTAGTGCCACATGAGCGCTTCCGGAATGTGAATAACCCAGACAAAGACAAGGGCCAGTGTGGGGAGACAGGAAAGGGCCCTCGGAAACCAAGACAAGAAATGTCTTGGTCAGAATCTTCTCCCGGCCTCAGCCCTTGCCTGGGCAAGTCCATCCAGGCTGTCCCTGCGTGGAAGCCCCTTCGTAGAACCAAGTCTCCTCTATGTGGAAGGAGGGACACCCCCTGGCATGTTAGCCTGTCCCCAGGTCAGGACCACCCCTTCAGAGGGCGGCCTTGGACCCTCCTGGTGGGCCCACGTGAAGGGGCTCTGGGGATCCTGACTCTGCTGTGTGGGGAACATCTTCCCCTCCAGGCACAGGGCCCACATCCTGCTGGAGCTTCTGGGTCAGCTCCTTGAGTCAGAAGCTGACACTTGACTGGCCGCTGAAGTATGTCCTGAGGACTGAAGACCCGGATGCACCCAGGACAAAGGATTAGCTGAAGAGCCTGGCACTTTTAAGCAAATGAGGAGACTGAGGGGAAACCACATAATAGATGTTATGAGTGATCTTCTGAAAAGAGGAAGTAGATTTGTAGGCTCAAGGCTCAGAGAGCAGGACCAAGACCAGGGTAGGGGCTGCTGAGAGCCAGGATTCCGCTTGTAGGGCAGTCACCTACATGATGTGTTCATTCCTTCCTTCCTTCTGTAGGTAACTATTTACCGAGTGCCTACCCTGTACACTGTTCTAGTCTCTGAGGATTCACTTGTGAACAAACTGACAACAATCTCCACCCTCACGGGGCTTCCACTCTTGTGGAGGAAGATAAAGCCATAGGCGTGATAAATAAGTAAACCACAGAGTATTTTACGTTCTGCCGGTGGATGTCTCCCCTCCCGCGGTCCTCATGTCTCAGTCGTCCCCCAAAGAGCTGCAATGGCTGCGGAAAGCTCTTCATTGGAGCTCTGAGCTTTGAAAGCCGATGGGAATCTGAGGAGCCATCCTGAGCCATGGGGACCCTCACAGGCTGTGGGGACGAGAGACCCAAACACCAAGGGCTCCGGAGGCTCTGGTTTGTCACGAGGCCACTGTGGGGGAGGTGGATGCAGCCATGATGAGGGCCGCAGGGGTGGACGGAAGAGTGAGGGACCGAGAGGGCTGTCTCAAGAGAGAATTCCCAAAGCCCCGGTGCCCACTTAGCGGGGGAAAGGTTTTGTCGGTGGGTGTGGAAGATGACCCTGGAGAACATCACCGAGGGGTCGTTGTGAACAGCGTGGGGAGACGGAAGTGACTGAATCCACGACCGGCCGAGGCGGTGGGAAAGAGAGGCTTTGCTCTGGTGACTGCGATGACCGTGACTCTAGGCAAGGCTGTCGTTCAGAAGCACCGCACAGCGAACGGCTGCAGCTGTGGAGGGAGGAGAGCCCTGTCTAAGCGGACATGGCCAGTGCTTCCTCCGGCCAAAGTGGTTCTGGAAACTTCGGTGTGGCTCCTGGAGGTGGTTTTGGTGGGAATGACAACCTTGGCCGTGGAGGAAACTTCAGAGGTGGCAGCCGGGTGGTGGTGGATATGGTGGTGGTGGCATGGGGATGGCTGTAATGGATTTGGTAGCGAGGGAAGTGGTTTTGGAGGTGGCAGAGGCAATGATTTTGGCAATTACAACTCTCCATCTTCAAATGTTGGACCCATGAAAGGAGGAAACCTTGGAGGCAGAAGCTCTGACCCCTATGGTGGTGGAGGCCGTACTTTGCCAAACCACGCAACCAAGGTGGCTGGGCGGTTCCAGCAGCAGCGGAAGCTGTGGCAGTGGCAGAAGGCTTGAATTACTGCCAGGAAACAACGCTTAGCAGCAGAGGAGAGCCGGAGAAGGGCCAGGGCAGCCACAGGTTGCAGCGATTTGTGAACTCAGACCAACTCAGGGG